CGAAGTCGAGCACTTTACGGTAGCACAGTTTAACGAGGACCAATACCGCACACCCTCGGTCCCTACGCAGACTGATCCAAGTGGTCACCCACCCGCACACTGACCGTAGCCAGTGATGCTTGACTTCGGTGATCTGCTGGGAACCGTGTCTTAACGATCAGTCCACTGCGGGACGTATTTTGTTCTAATTCAGGTGATTATTTTTCAACCTCAGGTATATAATTTTACACTTGTAGAGGTATATATTTATCAACCAATGGTGTGTCGTTTTACACTTCTGGTTGTTATAAATCAACCTGAAGTGTATTTGCAGCACTTGGAAAGGTCATTTTTTTATTAACGTCATGTGTTCCATGTTCTGCCTTAAGTTATCATTTCGTAACCTGAAGTATATATTTTTGTATTTTTAGAAGTATCTACTAATTTATCAACCAAAGATGCGACATTTTACACTTCAGGCTTGTAGCTCAACCTAAAGCTGTTTTTTCAGTACTTACGAATGTGAGGTGTTCACCTATTTGATTAATTTTTAACCTCACTATATAAAAAAAAAACTATATAAAGATATTATTTATATTATATGAAGAATAATGTATGTGATTACATTTTTTCAATAGTAGAGATCTCCATTTACCAATCTGAAGTTTTTAATATTAAACCTTCGGCAGTAATTGCTTCTTTTGTTAAGTTATAAAAGAAGGTTTTAAATGCATAATTCTTCTGTAATTTTAATAGATTGACATCTTAAAATAACACTTATCCAAACTCTACAATTAGTAAAACCTATCTATGGGAACTCATATTTTTAGAAAATAGTTGTATAATGTGCTTGAATTTCTTAAGATATAAAACTACAAATTTAAATAATTAGTCCGCTGAAATTCAAATACTTTTATTTAAAACTAAAATTTAATTTTTTTACAAATCAACAAAATTATTTTAAATACTGTTTCCGTCTGTCTGCTGAAACTTGTAATTATTGGAACCTAAAAGAAAAAAAAAATGAATTAGTAAGTAAGGCATATTTACAATAATAGTGGCAAGTTTTAAACTATTAAAATATTAGAAATTATTTTTTTTATGATTTAAATTAACTGGATGAAGTTAATTTTCTTTTTCAGATAAATAGTAGTAGTACTCTTCTGCCATTTCTATTCAATCCTTATAGCTAAAAAGCATGACAGGTACCACAGCCACAAAATAAAGTACACTGAAGTCAGTACTACCATTAACAACATTTACAGAAATTCAAAGATATAATTCCAATCTTAATATACAATTTTAACACTTTGTATTTTTCTATACATTTGGTATCATTATGGTACTTGTAAGTTTGATAATTATATTTTCTTTCTTTCTTACAAATCTTTAAACTCAATAAACCTAGTCTATATATTTTTAAACTTTTTGTCAGATTTTTATGAAACTAATAGCTTATTCTTTAATTTTAGACGCTAATTCTGAAAAGGACTTCCGTTATTGTCAATCACATAAGAGTTTCTAATGAAAAATAGTTATTTTAATATTTTTCAATAAATGTAATCAAGAATCAACAATCGTCTAATAAATTAAATTTTAAAGTTATGTACCAATTTTTATTCTTTTTTTACACTCAATCGAATAGAACAAATTACAAGTTGATAAGGAGCATTTATTTTAAAGTTGTGAGTAATTTTATGTGAGGAAAATGTCTAAGAGAGAATGATTTGAAATAATACTTTTAAAATATAAGTTGAGTACAATATCTCATATATAATTTATAATACCAAGCAGAATAAAACTAATAGCTAGTTGTCACAAACATTTGTTTAAATATAAAAACACATCCCATAAGATGAAATTCAAAAAATTGCATATTACTTTTAACAATAAATGTCTTTATTTGCAAATGATTTTATTCAATTCAGCATTAAAATTGCATAAGAAACTATACTGGCGTATTTCTAAAACATTTAAGATTTCCGAAAGTCGCTAATTTTTGAAGTAGTGAACTATAAACAGCTGCATAAAAATGCTCATAACCTTGAAACAAATTGTCATATAAACTTGAAATCGGGTTAAATTTAATTCTATTCAATATTTTAATAAGTAATATCAATCTGCTTAGCAATTGACGTGGGTAAATTGAGAAAAAATAACACGTAGTGAAAATAGCAGTGTGATCAAACATAAAAAAGTGAGCTAGTACAGTTACTAGTTTTCAATTATCAAATATCGAACAAACTATTGTTATCAACAATTGAATAAATGCTGTAGTTTATTAGGAGAGATTACTTTTTCTTTATGGTATGAATTCAGAACTTGCAGAAGAAGTGACTAGCAGATTGATTGTAATTTGTTCTATTCGATTGAGTGTAAAAAAAGAATAAAAATTGAACTGAGCAGTAACTTGCTAGTCACTTCTTCATCGCTGCTGCACATGTGCTATTTACAGCCTAGGTCATCTCAGCAATATCAGGGAACAGTTGATAAGCTCTGTAAATATATATATATATATGCATATATGTAAGAAAAAGAAATTGCAAGTTAATCAGATTTTTAAAAAAAAAAATCAGATTTAAAATGCAGTGTTATTATACATATTTTGACTTATAAACAACAATATAAACTTTGCAACAAATATCTGAGCAAACGATAAGCATGCAGCTATAGTAGAATTTCAAAGCAAAATTGCTATTTTAAAGATATTTCAATTTTCAATGATTTATTCATAAGAGAAATTATGAACATTTTACTCAACTAATCAGCTTGCATACTGCAACGTTGAAACATATACATTTAAGCAAAATGAAAGAATAGTTATATTTGAATAAATTACAAACAGTAAAATATACTGTGCATAACCTGCTGTAACGATTCACCAGTAACGTTACCCTAAACAGCGACGAGAAATATTTCGATTGTTCTCTCTTATTGCTAAGCCTACACTAATAGCTTCTAAGAATATCCTCCAACTTAAACTATTTAAGATCAGAAGGCATCTTTAAAACAAAAATAATAAAATTTAAGTTTGAAAATTGAAGCATATTTGATTAAAAGTGATAAAACCAAATTAATAAATGTCAAGCACA